GATCCCCAAAACGCAACATCCATTTATAATCTTCATAAGGATGCCAAGGACAAATTAAATAAATCATCAATGAAAGATGCTAAGTCACTAACTCAGACATATACAAGCAACACTTCTTTAGTTGCAATACTGATTGCTACAATTACATTTGCTGCTGCATTCACCTTACCTGGAGGGTATAGCAGCGATGCTGGAAACTTGGGATTTCCCATCATGGCAAGAAAATTCGTATTTCAGTCATTCTTGATTGCAGACACATTGGCAATGTGTTCCTCACTTGTTGTCGCCTTCATTTGCATCATAGCAAGGTGGGAGGATCTTCAGTTCTTGCTTCATTATAGGTCCTTCACTAAGAAGCTCATGTGGTTTGCATACATGGCAACTACTGTGGCATTTGCAACTGGTTTATACACCGTATTAGCCCCACGATTGCTATGGCTGGCTATTGGAATTTGTTTGCTATCAGTTTTATTGCCGGCAATAACTAAGGTTATTGGTGAATGGCCAGTCTTGAAGCTCAGATTTCGGTTGGGTAAAACTTATAACTCTGATCTCCTTGATATGGTCTGATTGTCAGACCATACCACTAGTGTGGCATCCTGTTATATTTGTGATGTGTTGTGGATGTAAGGTCCAATGGTCCGAAGACTTAATATTTGTAATTAGGGGCTTGTTGTTGATGACTTTACAACTCAATTATATATGCTACGTACATGTGTATTGAACTTATAATGCTTGCAGACTTCTTTTTTCAACATTGTCTCACTACTTGTGGTGGCTGGTAAACAGGCATGCCCGTGGGCACACCGAGGGAGGTAGGCATGGGTAGATATTGGCATTCCTAGCTAGTTTGACATGTTTGGTGCTGGATATTTTCTGTTCTCTTTAGTTCTCAAAGCAATATGCACATGTAACGTGTTGTGATGCTTAGATGTTGATATTATGTTCCTAATTTTGGGATTATGAGTGAAACATAAACTGCGTTCATCCAAACTAAACCTTGCTTGTACGTACATCAAGTCCATTTTAATGAACTATTGTTTACCTTCCTGTTAGAGAAAATTTCCTGTGTACTCTTGAAACTTCACCCAATCCCTTCTATGCCCCTGAGATTTGCTTATTCCCTTTCATACCTCTAAATTTCAAATTGGATCCCTTCTATACCCCTTCATTAGTTGACCGTTAAATTTCTATCATAAAGTCCATTTTGCCCTTTACTATCAAGAAAATATAAATTTATGAAGTATATTGATGAAGTGTATAAATTTATTGTATGCGACTATTATATGTATGAGTTTATTTTGTGAGATATTATCTAACAAATGTAATATTTTAGTTTTGCCTCGCGAAGAGAAAACAAAAATAATTTTTATCTATGACAACCCTTTGGTATAAAAAAAATATAAATTTATGAAGTATATTGATGGGGTGTGTAAATTTATTGTATGCGACTATTACATTTATGAGTTTATTTTGTGAGATATTTTTAACAAAAGTAATATTTTAGTTTTACCTCGTGAAGGGAAAACAAAAATAATTTTTATCTATGACAAAATTTATTTTAGATAAAACAAAAAAAATTACCATTAAAAACTGTATATATAGCATATTTTGTTATAGTAGTACAAAATTTTTTATAAGATAAATCTTGTTATGCGAGATAAAAATTATTTTTGTTAAGTAATATCTCACAAAATAAACTTATACAATAAATTTATAAACTCCATCAATATAATTCATAAATTTATATTTTTTTATACCAAATGTTAAAATGGACTTTATGATATGAATTTAACGGTCAACTGATGGAAGGGGTATAGAAAAGATCCAAACTGAAATTTAGGGGTATGGAAGGGAATGAGAAAATCTCAGGGGTATAGAAGGGATTGAGCGAACTTTCAGGGGTACACATGGAATTTTCTCTTCTTGTTATTGTTAACGTGTTTGGCTGATAGGAACATATATTTGGTTTTATATAGTTGAAAGGAGGTTTAGTGAAAGACATGATGGAAAATGCAATTACTTCAGCTATAGCAAGCCTCGTAAGAGTTTTAGCAAAGTTTCAAAAGGAAATTTTAGAAGAAAATCTGTTTCGTTAAAATTTCCTAGTCATTAGTTAAATTATCATTAATCAACCTTTTGGAACCACCAAGGCTTAGATACCACCCTATTTCGTCAGTTAATTCGTTAGACCCATTCGAGAAATACTAGCCATGTAGTCGTGCTTTGCACTACTATGATACCCATTTAAGAACTCCCTATATTGACCATTAAACGAAATTTTCTGGTAATTTTTCAATTCCAGTATCTGATATTCAAGCTAATAAATTATGGAGGCTCGTGACTTCATGGGGTAGCTGTAATACCCCGAATTTCGAATTAGTATATTTCGGAGAATATTAGAACAAACGCGCAAAATTTTAACTTTTAAACTGTTATTCGAATAGGCAATCAGGAACCGTGAATGCGTAGAGCTCGCCGAGTAGTGCAAAATAGACTATAAATTTATTGTAATCGGAGTCCGAACGAAATCCAGGTGATCAAATTAATATGGGTCGTTCGATATTGATTAGGCTCTCGGCTCTCTATTTAACCAACGAAAAAAAAAACAAGAAGAAAAGGACACCAGCAGCTAGCCCTAGCCCGTCGTCCTCCCCAACCCTGCCTCTGCACCGCCGCTGCTGGTGACGGCGTCGCCACAGCCGTCGTCGTCCGCCGCCGCCAATCGATTCCCTGCTCGGCTGCCTCTTGCTGAGCTACTGCTGCCAAATTCCTGTTGTTGCTGCTGCCGATCCGATCTTTTAATTGCCGCTGCTGCTAATGCATGGCTTGATGCCTTGATGTGCTGCGATCTGGTCTCTTCATATCGCTGCTGGTGCTGACTGCTTCTGCTGATGACGACTGCTGCTGACTGCTGCTGTTAGGGAGGAGAAGGGCGCAGGAGAGCAGGAGGAAGAAGGAATTTGGGGATTTCGGTGATTTTGCAACTAGCAGGTTTGTTCTCAGATTCTAGTATCCACACTGCAGCGGTACTTTTGGCTACTCTCTAGAAGTATTTGATTCAAATAGAAATTTATTCGATAGTCGTTTGTGCAATTTTCGAGGTTATTGATTATAGGCTGAAACCGTATTTTCAAATCTGATATTAAACCGTCGGGATTCAGGTTAGTTGTTCTAAATAAAGTTTGTAGCCATTGTCGATATCTTTCTAACGCCGCTGGTTTCCCTTGATTCCGATAAATGGTTTAGGAGAAACAACAGAAACAGTACTGCTGACCGGATCCGGAAATCAGGACAGCAATTCGTTTTCCTTAATCTGGGATTTGCAGAGGCATAATCGGAATTTTCGCCCAACATGAAAGTTGTAGACAATTTTGTATAGATGTCCGAAGTTATATTATTTGATAGATTTCGTTAGACGGTTTGTGAGTTACGCATAAAACAGTAAGGGAACAGCTATAGGTTATTTAATATAAATCGGTAAAATTTTTTATATATTCTAGGTTTCGATTTTAGTAAATGTCCCTTGTAACTATCATTAGATATAGTGGTTTATGCGTAGTTTTTCTCCACAGGTGTGGAGGGTTCCAACGTTGGAGGAGTTGAGTTGGATTATCGAAGAAGTTAAGGCAAGTACAAGATGGACTTGTGTGATGGATAAACCGTGTTGCTTTGTTGGTTTCATTTACCCAATTATTATTCGAAGCTTCGTATTATCAATTATGTGGTTTTGGTATTATGCTACATATTCATATTTCACTTCATGTTCAAGTTCACGACGTTATTCATGTTTCATTCTTCCGGAAATTTTTGTTTACATTATTCAAGTACCATGCGTAGTCATGGGAGTGCAATTTGGATCTTTATTCATGATCCTTGAGAAGCGATGATCACGCTTGCTCGGCTTACCGGTAATGCTAAGAGGATATTCACACCTGCCCGGAGAGAACTACTACTTTTTGCCTCTTTCGTTTTAAATTAAAGGAAGTCAAATGTTTCATATTGGTTTTCTTATTGCATTAAACCTGTGTATGTTTTACTAGTTCAATATTGTACTCGCTGAGTATTCTTTACTCACTCTTGTGTTTAATTTGGTTTTTAGGTACCTAATGATATTGATCGGCATGGGACAGGAGTAGCACTCTTGAACTACACATTATTATTGCACACTATTGAAATTTAGTTTTAGACTATGTTTCTGTTTAGCATAAGTTTTGCGTAGAACTTGTAACGGTCATTTAAAGTTCTAGTCTTTATTTTCACGTGGAATTTATGGAGCTAGGATGGTTAGCAATGGTTGGTTAATTCTTTATTGATCTATCTTATAACTACGTGTCGTGGATGTCCGTATTTTTAGGAGAGACTCTGCCGAAATTTCTAATAATTTCGGGAGTTAGTGGTTTTGAATGTTTTTTTAGTGTGGCACTCTAGGTACGTGGCTACCTGGGGCGTTACAGTAGCAATAGGTCATTTCAACCTGCAAATAAAATTTTAAAATGGTCGTACATCACAAATTTGAGTAGATTGTTTTGCAGTATTCTCTGTTCTTAAATTTGCTTAAAATCAAGTTGTCATGGTTAAATAATAGCAATTTGGAGTAGGATTTATAACTTCCCACATCATTTATATATGAGTAAATTTCAAAAAAACCCATGTTTTGAGGCCAATGTAACACATAACCACAGGTTCTATTTATTTTCTCACATAACCCAGTGCAATCAATCCAATTAACACAATACCACAGGTTTAAGTGTGGGAAAGTGCAACAATGGCAAGTGACATGGCAGACCTGCTCCATATCAGCTAGCCCCACCCGCCAGATCAATGCGTGGGCTATTTAGGGCGGGATCACGCGGGAGAACGGAAGCACCCATCCTCTGTTCCCACGCACGCGACGATGCACCCCTCGTCTTCCTCATGCTCACTGCGGCAGTGTTCCACCAAATCGTCCTCTTACAAGTTCAGAGGGGCAGGTCGTCGTGCACAGGCAAAGGCAAGCATCTCCAACTCTGCTTTTCTGCAATTTTAATCAATTTATGTTTGTAGGGTTTCAGTAACTTGGGAATTTGCGATTTTTGTCAATGCAAAATAAAATTGCATGATATTTCAATTATGTTGAGCCAGTGAGAAGGATGGCCTGGGAAGGTTCAGATGCTGGGAGACAATCCATTGGGTGCCCCATATGAGTTGGATTGCTGACTCAATTTCTTTCTCACTAGTTTTTCTTATTTATGTTTCAGTTGGCATTTTTTTTCTTGTTGCAGGATGACGATGAATGTGATTTTGTGGGCAGTGGCTGCAAGAGATCTCAACACAATTGAGATTGAACGACACGCTGTTGACTGTGCAAGAAATCGAAATGAAGCTTAAGTGAATCAATGGTATGAACTGCACAAGGAGAGGATGATAGCTGACGGAGAGAGGAACAAGGACATCACCATGTTGCAGGCTCTGGAGAGTGGAGACGAAAAGGAGCGATCAATTTGAAAGGATGGCGCTATCACTACAGATAAAACAACAAATTTTGTTGGTGTCCAATGTTATGATACTTGTACTGTTGATCGTTCTTGCTTAAGTGACTGCTTGGGAAAAATAGGATGGTCGCTTTGTGAGAATGCACCTGTATGCCAGAGAATGGTATATAAAACCTGAGTTCTTCACATGTTCTTCACATTTTATTAGCCCTAATTTCTTGACAAGACAAACATGATCAAAAAGCTAGATTTAATTCCTCATCAACTATGAAGCAGTGTGTCCTTGCGAATCACCAACCAGCATACTTTGGAGTCGATTCAGATGATCATCTTAAGAAAATGGATGGATGTTAACTGCTAGGAATATTGTTGATTCTATCCATCTCCCTAATCTTGGTAGCCAACGAGTTCTCTTCCTCTACTCTTCCTCCAGCTAGGTCAATAGCACGATCATCACCGGAGGCCATCATGCGAGAGATGGTTGGGGAATGCCGTCGCCGGCCGTGTGTGCGTGGCAACAGGGAACGTGCAGTTCTGTTCTTCCGCATGATCCCGCCCTAAATAGCCCACGCATTGATCTGGCAGGTGGGGCCAGCTGATGTGGAGTAGGTCTGCCATGTCACTTGCCATTGTAACACTTTCCCACACTTAAACCTATGGTACTGTGTTAATTGGATTGAATGCACTGGGTTATATGAGAAAATAAATAGAACATGTAGTTATGTGTTACATTGGCCTCAAAACATGGGGTTTTCTGAAATTCACTCTTTATATATATTTGTTGAAACTACTGTCAGTTTGGAACCCACACCGAAGATTTTTCTTTAAAGGTAACTAGGAAGCAAGCCCGCGCATATGCGCGAGCATTTTATTTAATGTTGCTTGAAAAATATGAGTCATTTTTTCTAAAACATTTGTATTCCGTTATCAACCTTTTTCCCAATAAATCATTTGTGACTATTTTGAATGTTGGTTATGATTTTCTTCTAATTACCCTCGCAACATATAAATTCTAAACTAAAATTACTTAAAACCGTGAAATCTTGAATTATAGGAAAATATTGTGCCACAACAATAGAGTTAACTCCTATGAACTAATATTTTTACAATATGTGTTTTTATTGGAATACTTAGCAAATCTTCGTTTTGGACATCTATACTTTAAGAAATCCACATAGTTCTTTTAGAAGAGTTGTTGAAATTTAACCAAAAATATTTGAAATACAATATTTTGTAAGATTTTCTTTACAAAAATCACATATTCCAATTACATTGTTCCTGCAGAAGTGTTTTTTTCTATTTCTGCAATTTATATCGGCCTTTGGATTCAACAAAATTTGTTTAAGTTTAGCCCAATTTTTATTGAAATTCCAGTTTTCCTTTCCATCTCGTATGGAATATTGGAGATTTATGTTATATCAATCATCCTTGAAATGCTTTTGATCTCTAAAATTTGGGAAGAAAACAAAATTGTGTTGAGTGTACAACTCAGTAGAGGCTAAAGACGTCCTAACCCTACCACCAAAATTGAGCCAAAAATATTATATGAACTGTCTTTTACTTTCTCTGTTCTCTGTTTTGGACAACAATAGTCTCCAATATACATGTTCCATTATTAATTACATCATTTATTTTTTAGCTATATATTTCAAAAACAATAAAAATATAACTGTATAAAAGCATTTTTCATAAAAAAATTATCAATATTATTTTTCCATATAAGCATAATATATTTTTATTAATGAAGATTTTGATATTTTACTGCACGCTTTCTAGGATAACACATATATGAGAACGGAGGTAGTAACATTCTGTTAATATCATTTTTTCCATATCAAACCCTATTTTTTATTTGCTAATGATTTAATATTCCGAGGTTTAGCTGCATCTGTTTGAGAACTGAGGTAGTAATAAATTAAAACCAAACCGGAATCTCCTATCACATATTCATATTCTGAAGTATCGTATGGTATATACAAAAATTTAAGTGATCACTAATGGCACCACATAGCTGTTTCACTACCATAATCCCTTCTTGAAACACACGTGCTTCCTACGACCCATCATGATGCCAAATGTCCATAATTGTATTTTAAATTTGTTGTCTATGAAAAATAGGCTCCTGATAAGGAACACGTTATGATGTAAAAAAAATGAGATCATTCTAAGATTTTTCCCCTCTAATTATTAGAGACTTCACGTATTGTATTAGATGCTATGATCATTTTATGATTGCTTATTTATAAAAGCATGATGATCCATGCGTATAGGTTATAGTTTCCCCCACACATTTAGAGATAAAATAATTATGTTCGTAAAAAACCTATTAGATGTCTAACCGTAAGTGACAAAAATAATTAAGGTTTGGCATTTGATTTCAATGAGATTTTTAAGATTTCCTTTAACTCGGTTGAGGCCTCAAGATGATAGGTGGTTCCAACATGTAATAAATTTTTAGCATTGAAAATAGTCAATATGAATGAATCATAAATTATTAATTTGCTTAAAATATACAATGGTTTAAACCGATCATATATTGGGTATATAATTTATAATCATTTAAACTTTGCTTATTTGTTTATAAAACCCACGAAGAACAATTTGTGTGTGAGACATCAATATGGAACATGCAGAAATTCTTTTACCATAAATAAAAGTGCAGTAAATATTTTTTAACTGCAATAGAAAAAAAAAAGCAGGGAAGAAAAGGCATGCATGCGTACATGCATGCGGGAGCCCATGGAAAGGATTTCGGTTTTTTTTTTGTTAGATCAAAACTTTGTTACCAAATAGGGGTATCTTTTAATTACCGTAGGAAAAAAAAGCTGGAGAATAAAAGCGGCGTCCGTATGTCGCAATGTCGCATGTGTATGTGTGGGGTCTCGGAGGGGATTTCAGAATTTCTTTTGTTTTGGGAATTTGTTTAGATCTAATGGTAGAGATCGATCTGTTTTATCCACAGATACATGCGCTGCAGATGTGGGTCCTCGCCTTCTTTTGTTGCGCCACGTGGCAGCTTAGGAGCAATTATAGAAATTCCACGTGGCGGTTTGAGAGCGTTTGTAGGAAGTTTAATAGACTTTTAGTATATAATTAAAATTAATTAATAGATAGATAGATAGATAGATAGATGTGTAGTTAATGACAAGAACCTAGATTCATGGTTGTTGACTTGTTTCCTCCATCAAGATTTATGTATACACCAGCAGTTCAGCGATCACTTTTATACATCAATTCACTGCAAAGATAATATTTGGGAGATTGTTGGAGAAAATGAACATATATACAACAGCTGAAATTAAGCCAAAGGAACTGAATCACATGTGACAGATATTGTAACTAAGTGATACGTTTGATCACATTTTGAAAAGGCTAACAACATCATAAAACAACAGACCTCATTTTCCACTTGCTCATTCATTCCCTCATTGCAATTCTTCAAGCTATGAGAATTCTGGAAAAAAAATTGAATTTTCACTTATACTTAGCTTATCAACCAAAATTTAAATTTTCAACCTTAAAGTTGGAGCTGATTTTAGGGTTTTATTATCGAAGTTTAGTTTTTATCCTTTATTTTTAGATCGCTAGTAACACATATATAAAAATTTTATTCGCAAATTATTTTTCGTTTGCAAATATACCATTTGGCTTATTCCACAAATAATCGAAACGATGGGACCAATAATGTTGCTCTCTCAAACCTTGTCCTCTCATGTAGCATTTTTTCTTGTCTTCCTGCAAGCTCCCTTGTCTTCTATAGCTTTTGCCCGGATAATCGGCTCTTACTCTTGCTGCTGCAGTTGCTTGCATGTGTAATAACTAATAAGGGAACAAAAGTAGAGGACAGATTAGTTTAACCAAGAAGAAAAGCGTAGTGTCAGGTGAGAACTGAACAGACAATGTGATTAGAATTAGCAAGTGCTCCCAGTCTGATATTTGGATTGATCTCAAAAGTTCCTAAACAAAAGAACCAGTTTAATCTGAACTATTCAAAGAACTGTACTTAGCGATATTTCTTATTTTATTAGCTCAAAATGTCAGAATCATCGAGAAAACATAATAGAGATGCTGGACAATGATATTTAGAACAGATTTTCAGTAACCACCGAATGTAACTATAGTGCCACTAACAACTCAATAATAGGAGTGTTATTATCTACACATCACAAACAGAAACACATAAAACAAGATGATCTATTTGAACTCACTTTCTTTTTTTCTGAAATCAAAGTTTAGTAATATAAACTTCATGCATATGAATTTTCGAACCAAATAAAGATGTATCTTGTATTTCTAACAGGAATTTTGGAACAAAAAAAAGTGTTTTAAAATCAGACCACCTAGGGACTTGTGGTAGAAATTAACTTTAAGGTATAGCCAATTAGTACCAATAACTAAAATTCAGCATTATAATTTAATTAAAATATAGGATCACAGTCGCATATAGAGACGCAAGAGGCATTTTAAACATATTCATCTCATGCATGATACGAAGAAAATATAAGTTTTTGGGTCCTAATTACATCATGACAAAATTGCAGTTTTTTTAGGTTTTTTTTTATCGTACACACGTACGTTCTTTGTTTGTTTTTTTAATTTACAGTACCTAAATATTCATATACGTATGTAAGTACTTTCATACGTACACATATGTAAGTATTTCCATAGTACGTAATTATTTTGATGTATATAGTATTTCCGGTAAATTGCTCGGATATAGAAAGCATAAACTTTTTAAATAGATCTAATCCGACGGTGTAAAATAATGGGTCCACCAATTTAAATGAAAATAGATGGTGGGATTGTAGAATGCCACATGGCGGTCTAGGAACGCTTGTAGAAGCGCCACGTGGCGGCTTCGGAACGTTTATAGGATGCTTAATGGACTTTTAGTATATAATAGATAGATAGATATTACCTAATACCTAACACATAACTTTTCGAAACCTTTGCAAACAAGACTATGCGTCACCGGAGGAACCACCTTACTTTGATGCATGACCATGGACAATGCTTTTTTTTTTGGACAAATTAGATAACCCCTATAGAAGATGTGGGATTTACCCCATGAGCCCATGACACAAACTTATTTCAATCATCTAGCCTGTGTTTGCAAGATATATGACAATAAAGAGATGTTCGTGACAAGGTCTTCCAAAGCCAATACAGGGTTACCCATGACACCTGAAAAGTCCTCGAACCAAGCCATTGGATGGGCATTTGCCAAGCCATGCAATTATCAGCATCTCAATAAGCCCAAT